GGGCGCCCAGCCTCGAGCTGGAGCCTGCTGCTTTCGAGGCTGGTGAGGGGGGTCAGTCCCCCAGGCCGGAAAGGCTGCCGCAGACACAAATTGCATTCGAGAGGAAACGCTGAACCGGTGTCTTCGGTTAAGGCCGTGGTCTTTGTTAGTCTCTGAAGCGATTGAAGTTCTGTCTGATTAGAGTTTAGCGCTGCACTTTCTGCTCGGCGTAGAAGGGTTTGGGGGCGAGAGCCTGGCTGGCAGCAGCTCCCCGTGCACTTCCCTTGTGTATCCACGGCTGCAAGTTGTGTTAAGGGATTAAAACCCCAGCCTTTTACCAACTAGTCTTACCCAGCACAGTCAATGCATGAGAAATGTCCATCTGTTGAGTGAATTTGAACCTGCTCTAAGTGTTGTTAAGTGTTTTATTAAAGACCGAAGGAAGCGGATGTCTTGAGTTTGTGTATGCCTCCTGCGCCATGTCTCCCATTCCTTGTCCCACCACCAGCTCCTCCACCCAAGGAAGCAGCACACTTAACATGGGGAAACTTTCTCTTTTTTTTTTAAAGCAGCATCAGGGTATAAACAAGTGCTAGAAATTAGTTTTACCTGTGCTTCAGGCCAGCTTTAAAGTCCTCCCTAGCCTCTTGGAGAAGAGGGCCCTTCTGGTAACCCAGAGCAAATCCCCGAGGTGCAGTCCCAGCGCCTGCTCTCGTGCTGCTGAACAGCTGGAAGTTCCACCTGCCTTTGCTTGATTTTTCTTGAATTTGAGCTCCTCGCCCCAGCGAGAGGATTTTGCCCATGTGGCTTTTAATGCCCCTTTAAGATGAGGTTGACTCGCAGTGCAAGTTTGAGCATTTCTTTATTTTTACACTTAAATATTCTCTTTAAATACAGCATTATCACAATGAAAAGAACTTAAAAGGCCAACAAAAAAAAATGCAGGGGGCCTGACAAGCTTTGGATTCACACTGGGGGGGAAAAAAATGCCACCTGTATACAGTGTGTGAGAGAGAGATGGAGGAGAGTCAGAAGTAGCAGTCACTATTTAAACGAGAAGAGGAGCCAGGCTAGCGCCGGAGCGTTACAACTCGGAAACTAGCAGGTAACGACTGGCTTTCGGATGTGTGATGGCAACACCGCTCCTGCAACAGCTCAGTAGCACCAGAGAGGAGATGGGCTGTTCGGTTTATCATACAGCTAATTGTTTAGTAGGAGCCAGTGTGGTACCAGCGTTAGTGTCAGTGAGTCCGGTGAAAACAAACAAACAAACAAAAAAAAGGCAGAAATGCACTTTCATTGCACTATTAACAGCATAGTTATCTTTGTAAAAATAGAATAAATCCTATTAGTTCTTTGCTTATTGTGAAAGCACCCATCCTAAACAGCAACTTAGGATTCATTCTGTCGTTTCGCGGCGCGCAGCCGAGCCGCTTCACTTTCCTGGAGCGCAGCCTCCCCTCCCTCGCGCGAAGCTCCTGACCCG